CCACAAGGCAGTCGTTTTCCGATAGTATCTACGGATTTTTGTACAATGCAGTTGGCTGTACAGGTTGGTCGATCGCAATAACTAGTAGCCCATCAGGCTAGGTCAACGTCGTAAATACTCAGGGTGGTCATATAACTGGGTCCGGGAATTATGTTTGCCGGGAGTGTCATGCAATACGATCATTACGTTCCTCAGTAATAAGGACTTAGTTATACTTTGCACCGAATCGACTTACCATCATGTAGAGCTGTGGCCGTGAAACGATAATGCAGTTAAACAGCGTGGAGTCAAGCAAAGTGCACTTTAACCCGCGTTGAAACAGCCAATCCAAATATACGAGACGCCTAGCTTGGCGTTATGTAAAATAGCACAAGATGTGAACGGGGAGAAAAGAAGCACAAAGCTATCATTGAAGCTGTCACAAATAGAAGCACTCAGCCCTCACAAGAACGCTCAAACAACCTACAAACATGCGGGTTGGTTGTTTACTGCAGTTTTGCGAGACGCCTAGCTTGGCGTTATGTAAAATAGCACAAGATGTGAACGGGGAGAAAAGAAGCACAAAGCTATCATTGAAGCTGTCACAAATAGAAGCACTCAGCCCTCACAAGAACGCTCAAACAACCTACAAACATGCGGGTTGGTTGTTTACATGCAGTTTTGGCGAGAAGAAGCATTGTACGGTTGTTTAACCCTTGTTTGGGATCAGCAGCAGTGTGCACTTCACAAACCTTTGGGGGATATTTGAACCAGCAACCTCCTTGCTAGTAGTTAAAGGCCAAGAGTGCCAGGGGCTGACTGGCAGGTCGATTAACTCATACCTAGGCACCATTCAACTTCCAGTCTGGCGGTTCACATCATATGGCCATGTTAGGACTTCTCAGACGAAAGTGTCACCTAGTTTGTTAATTAATCTTCCTACTGAGTTAATTACAGTATGCTGTTACTATGGAATGATTTGGAATTTAATTTGCCAGACTTGTCTATTGCTAATTTTCTATTATTGCATCTAAGGAATCCAACTGCTCTTTGCAAATGCGCAGATAAAAAAGTCCTTGCAGTCAGCAGCGATGCCGTGGAACGCTTTCAAGCCCGCGTCGGAGACTTTTTTGAATGTGCTTCCAGTACAGACATTGTGTTAACAGGGGAGAATGTGACGAAACTGGACAGTTTTGGTGGAAATGACCCCTGGAACTTCTCCCCTGAGTTGCAACACTGGGCACCCGGCTTGAAAGTCATTTTATCCATGACTGATGTGCGCGCGCAGGCTTTCTCCGATGTGAATGTTCCTGAGTTTACAGGAGCAGGTAAGAACCTCTTGTTTTTACGTTTTGAATGTGGCCCTTTTCACCATGTCTGAAACAATCAGCCACAAGAGCGAGTGAGTTAAAACCATGGGACGCCTGATTAAAAATATTTCGCCAGACAAGAAAAGACCTGAAATTATGATGATGAACCTAATGAACTCCGGTAACGGTAACTGTTCCGCGTCTGATATTTCCCAAAGGGCCTGGTAGGTCACGCATAGATTTTTTTGTATTTTATTTTCAATTCAGCAATGGAATCGACGGATTAAAAATCGGGAATTCAAGTCACTGTCTGAAAATGTACTACAGCATAATGATTACTTCGGAAGTTGATAGTTGAGCGAGAAATTAATCAGCTTAATCGTGGTTGCCAGCTCGAGTTTTGAGGAAGTCCGCGTAAACAAGGCTTTTACAAAATTCTTACCTGTCTCTGTGGCCAGATTCACCGAAAGATAAGAATCGCACAGACTCTTGACAAATTCGGAGTTGTATTCTCTCTTTAGGCAGCCACAGTGATTGCTCAACTATTCTGATGAGTGGAGGCTGAAGTGTTTTCAGCGTTTTTCTTGTTTAATTGGAATTCGGAAATTATTTTAAATCCGTAAAAAACGTAAGCCCAGATTCGGATTATTTCATCTGTCAGAATCACTTTATTACGGGAAAAGTAGTGTGGACGTGAGTTCATTCGAGGATCTGGTCAGCATGCGGTCAAGTCATTTGGCTGCCGCGACTGACAGATGAGTTGCATTATATCGTATCTTCATAAGTTAATCACCCTGGTGACCAGTCACTCCTGTATTCTTCAACCACTTAGAAAGTGGTGAGTTTTGGAGATGCGCACTTCTGATGGTTTCCGAGAAGAAAGACAAAGAAAAGAACTTGCACTTGCAAAGCGAACCCTTGATTAATAAAGTATGTCTAATCTACACACCGTCAGCGCTTAACATTCAGCTGAAAGGTAGATAAACCGGTTAGAGTCTCTGCAGATCCCAGTCAATCGTCCTATTAAACTCCGTTGAAGATGACTGGATGTGAAGTCTGCCAAAACAGCTTTTGCTATTCACGGGCAGAAAGAGCGGCATAAAATCCCACACAAGGAGCTGCCTTGCGTTACATTTTGTAAATTAGATACGAAATCCAAATAAAATGAGGATGGTTTTAAAGTTTTGAGCTCCAAAATTTCCAATTCCGGATGCATTTATGCCCATTCTTCACATACTGCCTTGCAACTGATGACGTTGTTAAACAGAAATGTTCAAAGCTGAAATGAATTTTAGTAAACGATTGTAACTTACCGACTGGATTAGCGTCCACTGAGAGGCCCGATTTGAAGGGCTATGCGTCCGGGATTGTGAAGTAAACGTGCATCGTCGCCGGTTGACGCATGCCGCTCACATGTGCTTTTTTCGGTTAAATCACTTAATGTCCCTGTGATGATGACGGTTCTAAAGGAGTGATTGGACTGCTTGTATACAGCTCACCACAACCACCCATACCATCATGTCTCCGAATGACATGCTCGAAAGCGCTTTTATTTTACCATAGACTGTGAATTTCTTAGTTTGACTGAACGGCGAGCCTCAACATCTAATTACTCGAAGATCCACTGAGCTCAGTAGTGGTTAAAATAGTACTACCGGCCAAATGTGATACTCGTTCGAAGGCTTTCAGTCGCAAAATTGGTTGAATTCGCGAAGCACATTGCTTAGCAAACTAATTTGGCCTTCAGGCTGGACCCAACTTAATCCCTCAACTAAATTCCTCAACTGGGTGTGCTGCATTAAAACGGCCTCATGTTTCAGTAGATGTGAGGCGCGGGATATCATAGTATATTTTCTGTAAGAAGCACAATTCAAAAGGCTGCTGGAAACCCGACAACAGTCCACGACCGGTTTTCTTTTCTTGGAGGCTCATCAGATAGGCGCAGTCACAAAGTTTCCGTCAAACTTCTTGTGTACAACTGCATACACTTTGGATTCAAGTAGACCATAAGGCTGACGGAAACCTGGTAACTGCGCCTATCTGATGAGCCCAAAACTGGAAAGTTTCCAGCAACTTCATTAGTAGTGACCTTTCTAGTCGCCTTCAGTTAGATAAGTGTTCAAAATGCTGTACAAAACCTATATAAGAATAATGGAACTACCATATTTGACGGGTTAGGAAAATACTAATCAAGAATAAGGTATATTTTTTCACCATATACTGGAAATGTCACAAGACGACAAAAATTCTTCTAAACTTCGGGACGTTCGTTTGTTTCTGAGCCCGCTCTATTGGTTCCACAAATATGACATTTCTCTCGTTTGTAGTGAACATCCAGCGATCTGATGATAGAAGCAAACAAGAGAAATTGACCAGTTTACTGATGACCAGCTCTTTCCTCGATCAAACCTATTAACTACTTGTAAATGAGCAACTGACTTGCTTTAACCATCATCCAGCTTATCACTTTTGATAAGGGTCGGTGGGTAGTCAAAGAACTGCCAAACTTTTCTACTATATATTAACAGAGAGTAACTCAGCAATCTGCTTGTCAACACAAGTGTTACATTTTAAATTAAATTCGCCAATCGAGCCCTTGCGTCCAGGCGGTCAATCGTGTGCAACTCCTAGAAAAATTATCAGATGCGTTTTGGAGCCAGACTACTTGTGTGCAATGTTGGTGAGTTGATCAAGCGTTCTGATTACTGGTAAGTAGCCAGGTTACTTTTCCTGCCGTTTTTCGGTCACGAAGTAGGATGAAGCATTTCTTAAGAAGGGTAGAGAAGTGGTCCTGGTGAGGATCATCCACAGCAAAGTGGCTATTGATTTAGTGACAGTGATTCTGATCGATGCGTTATCTCAAACGGGACACTTAGTTGAGAGACCAGGAAGAACTGACAAGAAGCTATGGTTGCAGACCAGCATACAATTATTTGGTAGTTGGTGTCACTTGCGGAGAATTTCGTTTTTTTAATGCTAACTCACCGTCCTACATCCATATTGAAGTCGCGTTTTTTCTTCTTCCACAGGCGTTGTCTGCGTCGAAGATCACTCACAAGATGGGACAATGTCCATTGTTATTGGCTTGTCAATCTGTGCTCTGGTAATCCTTGTTTTGTTGGGGCTGGCAATGAGTCATCTGAAGGACCGCGAGCGCTCATTTGGGGTGTTAGAAAATCCTGAAAAAACGTCCTTCACTCGTGAAGACCGTTCAGCTACTGTTCTTTGAAAAACGACAACTCAGTCAGCCGCAGCTCCAGTGCTCCATCTTGCACTTACAGAACATCCTAGTCAGATTCAAAACCAAGATAACAAGTTTTCGTGCTGTTAGTGTACCTATTTGTTATTCAATTTAGATGAACAACAATGCATTTCGTCAAAAGCCAATACCAGGAAATTTGTCATATTTTATTGCCTGATTTGCACTTGTTCTATTCTTACATTTTCCAGGCTACAGTGTTACTGTGCTCACTGTTATGTCATTCCGTTTTATGTAGACCTTCAAACATCTATGTACATACGACAAATGATTGCATTTTCTTCTCGTTCTAGAGAAATACATACCAAAAATTTCTTGAAGTGCATTAAACTTGCTCTCAGTATAATGGCTCAGGTCACTTCTCCGTGGCAAATTGACCGTTTCTTTCACTACGCACTCCAGAGTAGTAAAAAAAGTGTTTTTTTGTAGTAGCGCATTTACTGACTTTGTTCTATCCGTTCGCTAAAGCGTGACAGTAATCTTGAAACATGGCACCATTTATATGACTTCTTGTCTGGGTTGGATAAAATTTGCATCAAAGGCAAATTAATTCCAACATAGACGTGAGTTTGAAAGGAGGATAAAATACTATGCGTACTCTCTTTTGACCGCGAGAGCCGCTTTGTCACATACCAGCGTTTTGAGTTTTTGTGGTGGAATTACCTAGGGCACAAGTAATCATTGGAGGCACCAGTAACATGATAAATTTAGTCAAGTTAACTGACCACCACAGATATCCCCTCAGCATCGGTCACCCATTCATTTAAAAAGGAATAGCAACAGCATCTTCTCGATGCATTTTTAGCTGACCATCTATTTTTTGTGACTCTGGATCCCACAGGGCTTGATGCTCATCTGAATATTCCGAATCATTCGGTTTAGTCGGTCTCAGGATTCTTACCACGAAGTTTTTCATGGAATCGTATACTCTCCGCTGGCCAGTGGTGAAGACATTCACTGAACTGAAGATCACCACCGGTGACTGTGTAGCCAGATATAGATACACACTGCGGTCCTGAGTTACACTACTGCCCATTATCTGGAGTTAGTAGGGGAGAAATCAGGATGACGAATCTAGGTTTGTAGATCTCACCTGGCAATCAGGATTGCACAGTCATCTAGTGACGTCAGTTATTGCCCCGCTGTCATCCAGCACCACATTTGGTGATAATGAATGGTCACGCAAGTGTTATTCTCACCAGCTAAAGCGATTACCGTTTGTTTACCATTTTTTATACTGTGTGCTCAGGAAGTTGCATTCACTAGGTTTCTCAGTTCACAAAATCTTATAGTTGACCGACTTTCCACATATTAACGGCGGTTGTCAGTGCATAGCTAACCAGTGGTTGAAATGATAAAATCAGTGGTTGAACCTCAATGTTCCGTTTGGCTTGAGTGGCCACAGAACCGTATCCGTTGACTTCTTGATATACCAGTCTTTGAAAAGACGTGAGGCGGCAGAATATTTGTGGTTGGTGCCTGTTTACCGGAAGACAATGTGCCAGCGGGCAGCAGTTCCATGGCCTTGCTAAGGTTTGAAATCCCACCTAAACCATTTTCAGCACCTACAGTTCATGTGGTCCGTCCGATGAATTTAACCATGTCTTTTATTTTTAGGTTCAGCTAAGAAAACCTGGTTTTACATGACTTGTGCAAGAATTAATACACCCCAATTTGGTAAAACTTTGCGGTCATGTCCACAGAGAAGCACCTCATCGACATTTCGTGGAGAACACAGCAGCGATACCAGCTCCCGGATAACCGGGTTCCCCAGAAGCAAGTTAACATACGTGGGCATGATTTCACTTAATTTAGTGAAATCGTCAACCAAATGTGTGTTCCATGAGATGATCGCGCCAACAACCAAGCATCCCACAAACCGTGAGAAGGTCCCAAACATCCGTATGTACAACATATGACCGGGCTTTATGGAAAATAGGATGTCACGCATTTCCTTGGTTCTTGAAATGCTGCTTTTAAGGTGTGTGGACTGTGCCCTCCCATTGCTTCGAGTGCCAGAGTAGCGTTACACAAGCTGTCGGTAGTTTGTATAGGTTTCCTTCGGCCCTGATTATTCCACGAAATCCGTACTTCATTTGCTCTTACACATATCTGGACAACAAGGAATGATTCTGGGGCTTGTGAATGTTTCCGCGCTGTAAATTCCCGCGATTTTTGGTTACGCCTGGGTTTACAGTAAGCTAGCTGGAAGTTTCCGCGCAGATAATACGGTTGGTCAGGATGTCCTTTCCCCACATTCTTTTCTGCGGTCAGCACAAAATCCTGAGGCACGCAGTCTGGGTCACCACGCATACAGCTTTAAAAATCACAGCTGGAGTGTCATTTGTAGCTTGGATTACAGGGGTGAAATTTACCCATGCTCTGACGGGTATGTGACTAAACAACAAAACATGATACAAACTGACCCCAATTTCGTCATTAGTTTTGGACCTTCAGTATGCGGTTTCCTAAGGCAGGTCTTTCGATTTTATACTCTTTTTTACATCTAAGCGGAAACCGTTGTGTTGTGGATAAGTGTCCCCAAATTGGCCACCATGCAAGCAACTCGTTAGCCTGTCTAGCGACAAAACTGCACACGTGGATAGATACTGAATTATTTTCTGCAGTAACCGAGTGCACCCAAGTGGTGACTGAGCATAAGCAAACGTGTCAAAACAAAGCGCCTTTAGCACCGCAACATTGCATGAATAATACTTGTACCCTGAAATATTATAAATGCATCTTTTCTAAATCTGGCACAGAATTTTAATTAGGCGTGCATTCTCTGGTCGGGTTTTCTTAACAACTAGCCTTTGAATAATCCAGTTTCTTAATAAGTGCCTTGCTTTTAAATATACAACATGTTTAACGTAATACGATTAAGTATGAATCGACTCAATCAAAAGTGCATGCGATCGGTCAAGGACGTATTATTTGAGAACAAAAGCACTGGCTGCCTCCGAAATTCTATGAAAATGATTACTTAGTTACAGCTTCATTGTGATGTGCCGTGCAGAAGAGTGTGAAGTACAGGTCTAGTCTTAGTTTCTGTGGTTATTTTATCTTGATTTGTAACAGGAAAACCTTCAAACCTGAGTAATCAGTTTTTTGCTGAAAACGATTCCGAATTAGATTTATTTTGGCAAGTGCTTTTAAAGTACATCCCTTTGGTTTTAGTTTCAACTTTGAGATCTGCGAGTTACCTGGAAGTGTTAGTGCCCCAGGTGTTTAAGTCTCCACAAAATGTTCCAGTTCCACGCCGTCTGGTAAACTATTTCACAAAACATTGTCCTGGAAGTCTAACAAATCACTGATGATACCCTTTGGAACCTAAGCTTTTCAAGCTCGTACTTTTGCCCTCAGGTACTCCTCATTTTTCCGTGGATACATGCACTGTCACCACCGAGAGTTTTCACTCCCGTATGTTTTGATAAAAAAGAGCATATCATCAACAGTGCGGCCGCATTCGGAGCCGAACGAGTGAAGCTGCTTGCGGCAGTCGGTGCAGTACAGACATCTTAGTTTTGATAGTACTTTAATGGTCGGTCTCTATACTCTTCTCAGCCACACGTTTTCTCCCTCCGTGCATGTAAAATTAACCGGTGCGTCATACTGCACGACCAGTAGGCGATAGCAGCACTTTTGTCATAGTGTGTTCAAGCGTTGAAAGGCACACGTGTCTTTGCTCTATCGGTGTTGCCTTCATATTAAATGGCTGCGGGCTCAACTTCTCGTAGTATAAGTGGCAGTGCTTATGAAGAATGTTTTCCGTCTTGATGTTCTCTCCTGTGCTGGGTGCTGACATTCGGTCAGGGTAGTGGCCGTTCTGACGTCTGCTGCCAAGCCTCCCGCCCTGTTTGAGGTATTCTGGCACAGGTTCTGCTCCACGCCGTATGCGAATCATAGCTTGAAACAATTCGTACATGATAGCTCATCTAATTCCCTGAATGTACAGCTGATGTAGGTGAAAGCTCGGTTCGATTGTTCTTTTGCAGTTCTTATTAGACTTATCTCGTAAACTCACACCTTAAAATTCTTAAGCAAGTATAATATTTTTCGATTTTTCCACCCCGCACAATTTAAAAATATCCTGTTTGCACAATTTGCGCCACGCAAAAGTTAAGTCACTTATCAATCCGCCGTGCACACCTGGTTAACGTAACAGCCTTTCCGCCTTGTAAATAAATGATGGCGTAGTGTCCGCAGGTCTCCGGCGAACCTGACATTGCTTTTTTTCGTTAACCCCTAAGACGACCATGTGGCACCAGCTAGTATTGCGAGAATCGTGAGTCCTCCATTAGTTGGTCACAATCGTCTGCACGATCAATAAGCTACCAAAGCGGCCTCAAGTTGACTTACAGCTACAGGTGGACCCCGGATGACAATGACTCCTGATGGATTGGGTATATCAAGTATCTTCAGTCATGGCAGTTAGCATGCAGTGAGGGATTCCCATGTCTGGTCATTTTCCCCACCTATGGAACACCTCAACGCTCCACGGCCACTAAGGAAATAAGTGTCATTAGTGCCGAGATCCAGGCTGTCCGGTGGCCTCGTTCAGCCCATGCTTGAAAGACTGAATGCGCTCAAAGTGACAAACCGAGTTTTCCCATCGACATTTCGAAGCCACTTCATTCAAATGGTGACGCCGCTGAGAAAAGCCCCACAGAGTACACCCACCCCTACTGGGACGATGTAGTAGGTGATAATCCTCGACAGCTCAAAGCATTCCGGTGTAAAAGTATCCCTTGAAGATTTGAAATAAGGAGGTTCATCTACCTGCCCTTATATATGACCGCAGCGTTGGTGACAATAACCGCCACGTGACGCCATATTTAAATCCGAGATCTCACCTCAAACTATTTCTGGGTTAGACCAAGAACTCTGGTAGAAGATTGGACACAGACCTTCGGCTTAAGCGGTCTCCTGAATCACATCTCACATCGGCGTATGCCACCTTGACCACGACT